ACACACACATTTTTGAAACACAAGTTGACCTCAGCTCCACTACGCTTTGTTGGGAATAACCTCCCTACTATGCTGCCCGTCTAAGGTAAAAAAATATCGAAAAGTACTTTAGAAAACAAACCGTAAACAAAAACCTCTTAAAACTAAGTAGGACTTTATAGAGTCATGTTTTGTTTATCAAAAATATCCGTTAAGCTATCTCCAGTGACAGTCCGTTTTTGGGACAGCCTGTATAAATGATATTGCTTTTGTTCACAACGCGACAGCCCTGTGTCCTTTAAGTAAGTTGAAGTGTTTTGTTACAATGTAGCGAAATAACGTTCTAAGGTCTACGTAGATATTGTACCACTCGTATCTTGCAGATTCACATATTAAAAACGCGATTTTAAGTAACGCGTGAAAAGATTTTTAAAGAGAGTCGGAGATCCCAGGAGATCCCTAAATGAATGTATTTGACATCAAGCTAAATACTGTGACAACTATGTAGTTGTAAAATTATGGTGCCTGACGAATTCACAAATTCTGAAAAAGTGTGCTGTAAATACTTACAATACTGCAGTATTGCGTTCATTTAAAGTACGAGTAGTATCTCTTTCAGTTAATTTTTCAAACTACCGAGCCAACTTTTTCAGAAAAAAGGGAAAAATTAAGCGATGGAAGAACAAAGGGGGTAAAATGGTGAAAAAATGTATGAAACACATAATTTCTCAGGTTATGTTAATAAAGCTTTTTCTATTTCATTACTAACTACTTTATATTCTCAAGGCATATCAAACATATCTAAGGCTATGTCTAAAATTCTCCTCATTTGCTATTTACATAAGCAGCAAAATACAGCACGGTGATTACTGAACAAAGTAGCTCTGCCAGGAACAAAGTGCCAGACGGCTCCCCAGGGAGTTCAGGGACAAAGTAAAATGCAAATCCTCATGTATTTCCAATTAGCTCCAAATAATAATTCGCGAGCAAGACGCCTAAGTATACGTGCATCGGTTGCTTTAAATATTTATGTTAGTCGACAGTCTGGGTGAGGAGCGAGAAAATACAGGACATGTTTGCGTGTAGTAAGTATAATGTATTTAATTGCAATCCTTGTGTGTTCGTTACTATGATAGAAGTTGCAATTATTAATTACTAAGCGTAAGTAAGCGAAGATAATCATAATTTGACTCCATCTAGGACCGAATTCCCTAAAATATACGAGTCATTTTTTTCAAGAACTTAAGTAAAGAGGGCTTTGTAGTGACTTATCTATATACAAGAAAGTCGTGTTAGTTACTTCGCTTATAACTCAAGAACGGCTGAACCGATTTAGCTGAAAATTGTCCGGGAGGTAGTTTAGAGCCAGGAGAAGGTCATAGGATACTTTTTATCCCGTTCGAAGTTAAAAAAAAGTCTGCTTATTTATTGCCATTAAGGCGGAACAAAGTTCGCCGGGTCAGCTAGTTAATTATAAACTGCTTGTAAAGGACATTGTCAGAAACCGCCTAAAAAACCGCCCAAAAACATTAACCCATCATAATTATTTTCTAATTTTTTTAATACATTAAGCACCCTTTCAGTCTAATGGACACTTAAGCATTAAAAAATTAAATAAATAAGTCTTTTAACGTTTATTCTATAATACTATTACAACTTCCGGACGTTTTGGTGCGTGGCATGGTCTAAAACCTATCAAGTTCCATAATTTTTGCCGATAAAATCTGTACGAGGCATTACCGTACTTTATTGCTGGGAGTCCATGTATAGTGATGTTCCTGCGGCCATCATAGACAATAAAATATCGATTTTGAAAATAAAATAAATCGATTAAACTGCTTTGAAGACTAGATTTGCGTTAAAGAGTTGTATTTCAAAAACTTGTTCTATTATTTTATACTATTTGGCTGCGACTCGGCGTGACGACAATACAAAACATTTTTCGCGAATCGGTGTTCATACATTCACACAATACATTAGACGCCATGTTGTCATAAACGACATATTATAAAATCGCTGTGATTAAATATTCTTAATCATTAATTTTATGGCAAGTGTCCATCAGGAATCATTGTTCTTACACACAGAATCGTATTATTTCGCTTTCGGGTAGTAATATGTCAAAATTGTTGGTTCTTAGGCGAACAATGTATGGAGAACGAACATTGTCCTTTGATTGAAATTGCAGTTCGGGTAGTAAAACAGTACTTGAATTTCACAACAGTGGAGTCACTTTAACAGACTTTCGTTAAAGTGACTCCACTATTTTGAAACTCAAGTATTGTTTTACTAGCATGGTTTTATCTTTCTCAACTCCCGATGTTCCTGAAACACTAGCCAGGACATTCCCATGGGATTAGTATACTAGTGGCTCGAGACTGCGACGAGGTAGTTTATAAATAAAACATAGCCTGCCGAGTCCCGGTACACTTAACCTATCAGGGCTGAGTATAGCACTTTTAATTTTTCACACGTTCGCTATGTTATTTTGGGTAAAATCAAAAAGGTATAAAATTCAAAACAGATTTATTCATGTAAAAGCTTTTTAATAAGCTTTGAGCTTATAAGCTCATCGCGATAAAGACCGTGATCCCCTAAATAAACACGGCAATTAGAAGCTCTATGGGCTATGGCATAACTCTCGCATGGGCGCTCGGCTGTTTCGCCAGATATACGGATTATAATAAAACAATAAGCGATCGCCGGTCCACTGACTCCTTTGTTGCTCGGGCCAGTGCTGTGCGATTAATCGAATACATCGATACCGGTGAGCCGAGCCCATGAGCCACTCAAACAATCGTTTTGTGATTGCAGAATTTCGGTTTATGAAAAGGATTTTCGTGATTGTTTTCGTACGCATTATACCTACGTAGGTGAACGTACATTAAAAGTTGTTCTGTCATACTAATTACCTATTCACGTACAAAGCCCAGATTGTATTTTCCAGCTAGATTTTGAGCAATATGAATGCATGCTTGATATCGCAATAACCAGCTAAGAAGTTACTAAGTTTTGAAGCTTAGATAAATATTTTTTTCATCTCTATCTAATTAGAGCCACAACTAAATGGTCAAATTAAACTATTTTCCACATTCTAGTGTTAATAAAATATGAATATGTATTCTAGAAAATAATAATGTACCAGTCGCGTAGCCGAAGCGAAAATTATTACTTGTTATAAGCTGTTGTTTATCGACAATCGACATTCTAATTACTAAAACAACTGACCCACCCCTACGGTTTAATAAGACAGGAATGCGTGCATCAAACCTCTGGTATTTCACAGCACTGTGTTTAAATAATAAATTGGATTTCTATAAACGGGCCTTCTGTTTGGCGTTATTAAATATTTTTACTTCTACTTCTGTAGAATTCTTTTGTTGGCGCAACTTTCCCAATAAATACGATAAAAGTATGCTTAACAAGTTGCTTTATGAACTATCGGCGATTCTTAATTCTATGTAAATGGAATTCTTTTGAAAGGATGGAGACTGGGAATGATAGGATGAAGTATTTATTTATTGAGAGACGGCATTCAGAGTCCATTTTTAGTCTTTGTAGATGCTTTTTTTATCACTAAAAATAGGATATAAGATAAAATAATTCACGCTGTTGTATAATGAATGAACCCTTATTTTCAAAAAATGTAGCCTGTGTCCTTATAAGTATCTCAATTAAAGGTATCAATAGCCGATGAAATTAGTTTCACTAACCGTAGAGACGTGAAAAATTTATCAAACATTTGATAATTTCGATAAATTACGAAAATTTCTTTTACTACTATGTTAACTACCATTATAAAGTTTAACTTGGTTAGACTGCTATGAAAAGGGGAAAAGTAGATTTTTTATTGATCTATTCTCAACAACGCGCCATAGAAAAGTAGAGTTTCGTTAGTAGTGAAAAAAGATATCGCTTGGAATAATTATCACATTAATGGTATAATAACAGATTTGTAATTAAAATTGAAAGCCAACATTCTCGTTTAAGTAAACACTGTTCAACTGTAAAACTGCGTCCTTAGAATATTACAAAATCAATTCCCCCTTGAATCGGGGGCGTGGCCAAATCAGTTTGCTAATATATTCAAATGTATTCTCTGATCAGCCGCTCGTTCTCGTAACGTATTTAAAAAGTGATTAGAAGTTAAATTGACACAATATGAACTTTTTGTCCCCTGTAATGAAACGAGATTATTCAATTTTGATTGAGACAGCGACAAATAGATTGGTAACGCCCCGAACGCGGCGGTAATTGAATTTTGATTATGACGAAGTGAAAAAGGCGGTAACCAATGTCAGGAATTAAATATATTTGCATAAAACTGTTACGAAATATTTCTAAGCTTCAAATTGATAATGAAAAAACCTTAGCTCCCGAGTGATAAAATATCTCGACTCTCTTAGCTGGATAAATAAGCGAATATCTTAAGGACTATCGTGAAATTCCTTTTCATGGATGTTTTTCGTAAGTTTATTACTTATAGCGTTAACACTTGAACCAATGTCTATTCGAAAAATATCTCATTGTATGAAAGATGGAAAAGGACGACTTACTGGAAGCCACGGGTAGAAGTGTTATTTAGATAAAATTCTGAGTAAGTTACAAAGAAATAATATCATGAATATATTTTAACATTCACATAATGCAAAAAAACATAACTATACTTGAATTGAAAGAAAAAAAAACATAATACAGACTTATCCCGTCGCGTATACATTTTCTTACAAAGAAAACGCTTCTAATCCCGCCCCCGCAGGTTAACCCAGACGTTATATTTACATCTACAATCAAGATTAAATTTACATTGTTGCTTTTACGGAGCAGTTCCGTCTGTTATGGTAAGGTATTCATGAGAGCAAGCGGTCCCGCGAGCCACCGTAACGCGGAACCACCCGCACGTCTAACTTATGATAATTACGTTTGGAATAATCCGCCCCGGGCAGAAATGCGCAAAGTCAAGCCATTTTAAACATCACCAAGCGCTCTAATAATGCTATTTGCATCCGTAAATAGAAAACTGTAATTACCAGCTTCCAATCTCCCGATTGAAACTTTTGCTTACATTTACATCGAATTCAGACTTTACCTGTCGCTCATTTCTTACATTTCCATCTCGGTGGCTCGAAGCTCGTATACAAAGCCTTGTTTAGTATATCACATTCCTTTAAATCTCTTTGCGCTTTGTGCGCCCGTTTCATCATTTTCAAATCTTCGGAGAAAAATTCGCTTGTCGCTTGTTTGACAACCTCCAGATTTAAATCATCTAGTCCGGAAGATAATTCCATGTAATCTCTTTCCAAGTGGAGCATCAACGTCATTATGCTGTCCTTAGGATCTTCCGGGCCGTGGAACACTTGAGTGTTCGTGTACTGGAGACAAGTAAACAGTTTGCTGGCGTCATACGAAGCGTACAATGTTTGGAATTCGTTTTCTAGCACTCTCTCAAACTTGACTTTGGCTTCTTGCTCCTTTCCTTCCATGAATTCAACGTACCCTCTGTACGTTTCGACCAAGTCTTGCAATTCATCTATCTCCTCCATGACTTGCACTTTGAGGTAATCTCTGCTTTTCATCACGGATGCCAATAAGCTTGAAGCGAATACGTCAATTTGCATATACGATAAACATTGTCGGCTCAAGTTGTCGAAAATGATGCTCATTTGTCTCGGTCTAGTGAAAAATAATTTCGGCGCTATATCTTTGAGCATTGTAGCGCTAGTTTTGTAATCCGATTCTTTGGCAGACACAAGGCTCTTGGTTTCCTCGTACTGTTGATCGTATTTTTCGCGCCACGCAGCCGGTGATAAATTATTGAGAAACTGTCGATACTTCGATAGCGTTTCGAAATTTATAATAATAACACCCAACTTATTTCTAACTGCCACGAAATTAAAACAAAGGGCCTCCAGCTCCTCTGTCGCGGCTTCTAATTGACGTGCTTTGTCCTCAGCTATTTTTTGTATATTCTTGGCTGTTGTGTAACTCTCTTTTGCGAATTGTACGAAATAATCTTTAACTTTCCAGAACAACCGATCAATTGCTTTATGCTCGGCGTTTTCGAATGCGAAAGATGTGTCCACTTGAATGATTTGGTCCTTCAAGTACGCGGCGTTGGCTTTGAATAAGGTTATGTCTCTGATATTTCTCATGTAAACTTTGATGTCGTCGAATTGTCGTAGAGGCCTGCCTTCTATTATTTTGTAGAAAGTATGGTCTACGTCACAAATGGTATGAGGTTCTGACATTATGAACGGTTCTGGTTTGATCTTCCTCAAGCCTTGACTCTTGCTGAAAATACGATGATGGTTTGGTATATCAAAGGGATTTCGGAGACCAAAATCTTTAATAGATCTGTCGTGGATCTTAAAAGAAGTTTTAGGCTTAATAGGAAATTGAGGATTTTCATTTTCTTTATTATAATTTTCGACAGGATTACGTTCATCCAATTTGATCTTCATAATTTTATTTCTTGCTAAACGCTTCTTACTTATTTCTTTTGGGGTTAAAGCTGACCTGAAAGCAAAATGTGAGTTGTGATAATTATAATCTCAGGAATAGGGATATTATGGGAGAACTCAGAACTTTAATGAGTGAGTGAAAATAAAATATGGATATTACGTACTTCTTCATTTTGTATTATTAATATTTTTTACTCTCTATTTTGCGATAACACCACAATAATAGCATCCAGCGATACATATAGTTTTTAAAGCAATTCAATTCAAAGAATTGCAAATCTCAAAGAATTCATAGAATTTAAATTCACTCAAATTGTCACATTGACATGCTTCAGGTTTTTTTTTCAGTTAAATAAGAAGGATTTAAGAAAAGTTGTTTGAGGGCCATTAAAACTTTTTTGCGATCTTCGGTAACTTAGTCCAGTCAATGAATGCTTTAACGATGGTGTAGAGAGAAATCCGTGGAACACAATATCTGACCTCGGGACTTTATTTAGACTAGTTAGGAGGTGAACATAGCAAAAGTCCCCGCCCTTAGCCCTTGAGCCGCCGGGGAGAGGGGGGTTTAAAGGTACTACTTTTCGGTTTTTCGCTTAATCCTCGGAAACTATGCGTCCTAGTGACATGACTACTATGAACCAAAAAAAGCTTATTCAATTTGCTACAGGTGAGACAGTCAAGTTTTTCTATATCTTTTATAGTTTTCACGGCATCTGCTCTAGAAGGTCTGTAATGTTGGAAATTTTATTTTTGTCTTACATGTTCCCATCAGGAGAAAATCGACTAAATCAACATTAAGCAAACATTTTAGACATGCGGGAGCACGTTAAGCCTAGTTTCAGGGAGGGGACTGCACCGTGCGTATATTTAGACGACCCAATTGGAGTCACTTTTGACTCCTCATCACTCAAAAACTACTGTGCATTAACACTTCAAATTTGGCTCATGTGTTGAGACTTGCAAGATAAACATCAGCTTCAAATTTCATAAATATACCTCTAACGGTTATTTAGGTATTGACGTTCAAAAATCGACATTTAGAACACTAAAATCTATCTATCACATGTGAAATGTTAAAATTTACTGGCTTTTTATTTGTTCCTTTGTATTTACACATCTATCTATCTGGATGCCAAATTTGAACCTTCAAGGTCATCTGGAAGTTGTTAGCATTAGGTCTATAGGTCAGATATGTAGATTTTTGGACGTCAATACCTAAAGAACCGTTTGAGGTATATTTATGAAATTTGAAGCTGATGTTTATCTTGCAAGTCTCAACACATGAGCCAAATTTGAAGTGTTAATGCACAGTAGTTTTTGAGTGTTGAGGAGTCAAAAGTGGCTCCAATTGATTCGTCTAAATATACGCACAGTGCAGTCCTCTCCCTGGAACTAGGCTTAACGTGCTTCCGCATGTCTAAAATATTTGCTCAATATTGATTTAGTCGATTTTCTCTTGATGGGAACATGTAAGACAAAAATAAAATTTCCAATATTACAGACCTTCTAGAACAGATTCCGCAAAAACCATACAAGATATAGAAAAACTTGACTATCTCACCTGTAGCAAATTGAATAAGCTTTTTTTGGTTCATAGTAGTCATGTCACTAGGACGCATAGTTTCCGAGAGTTAGGCGAAAAACCGAAAAGTGGTACCTTTAAACCCCCCTCACCCCGCTGGCTCAAGGGCTAAGGGGACTTTTGCTATGTTCACCTCCTAACTAGTCTAAATAAAGTCCCGAGGTCAGAAATTGTGTTCCACGGATTTCCATCTATAATGCTTTATTGACTGGACTAACTAGCTTGCAAAAAATTTAAGTTCAATTAATTAATAATTTACAGTTGACATTATTAACAACATGCTTCGTTATTAAGTTAGTATAAAGTGCGCGTTAGTTTGCCCTTAGGTTAAGCAGCTTAGTAATAATTGCGGATTTTAGAAGTGTTCATCTGTGCAAGTTACTTCACAAATCGCCCAGGGGAGGAGCCGTCAGTCAATGTAGCACCCATCAAGTGACCACCGCTCCAAGTGTTGCTTTTGACGTTTAAGGGCTTGGCCCAAGTCATAAAATGTTATGGTCCCACGATTCTGAAACGTCAAGTGGCAAAAATCTAAAACGAACAAGCATACTGGTAGTAGGTACTGATAGTAAAGCCTGGTCCGTGAGCACGTAGAATTTTGTCCAATGACACCAAGCTACCCATCCTTATCGCTCGCGCGGAATTATTTGCTGTCGCGATTGTGGGACGTGCGCCCACAGTGAGTGTGCTAGAGCGACAGCAACATACGTGCTCACGGACCAGGCTTTAGCTGTAAATGCCACAAATAAACGGTTGTCCAACGTGGCAAAAATCTGAACTAATAATACAGCATAGACAGTAGCGCCCTCCCGCCTGACAATGTCATAGCTGGGACGGTTTTTGTGTAGATCTTTATAAGATAAGTTTAATAAAACAGATCGGTTTAATGTTTTATCCGAAGTATGTATTATGTTACGATCTAAAATTACATTTGTGGGTCATTTAACAAAACATTACGTCAATAGATCTACTTCGGCCTATGGTAATTAATTATATAAACTCAATTTTTTACCTACTGCTTACACAAAGACTTTGCGATCTGAGTGTTGAGCTTAAGAAACAGTTTTGCGATGTTATTTTAAAAACTTGATTGCTAATTGTGTAGAATACACACTGTAAAGTCTCTACTAGGTACAAGTATCTAAGAATTCTCAGGAAAGGGCTTCTTAGCCTTTTTATCTCAGATATATTAAGTAGTCGCTCTTTTGTATTGTTACTGTGTGTACGCTGCTCTTGTAGCATAAGATCACACAGGGGCTGTTACGAAAATCATGTAGGTACTTATATAAAGAGTTACATCTCATGACTTGGACCAACACTTACTTAAGTTGGAATTCATAATGCTCCAAGTGATTTTAACGCGAAAATCTAACAATTACAGTTAGACGTGAAACCTCGCTGGAGTTATATTTTAGTTCGTATATTTTGCATATTGCGTGACAGCAAAAGGCTACGAATGAATTTGCATAGATTTCGTTTCTGCGATATATTTTGACACGTTAGAATATAATTTGCTAGGTGCCACAGCGATTTTATCGTGATAAAATCATGTTATTTCAATTCATGTTTCATGGTACAAGTACTTATTAGCTTTAGGTGATGCTTAAGTATTATTATACCTAACGGTTTGATTGTAAAATGTAGCAGCTTAATTTTACTACTTACATTTAATATTTCTGCATATTATTTATCATTGTTAAACAATGTCAGTTGTTAAGGTCAAAGTTATAAAGTCAATATCAGTAATAAAAAGTTCCTTATTTTTTAATCTTTTAAACTAAGTTTTTCTATTCTATCCACCACACATTGTGAATAGAATAGTATAGTATTGTAGATCTTTTGATGACCTGAAATGTAATTTAACTCTATAGCTCATTCCATAGGTAGACAGACACCCAATGAAATAACTTTATAGAAATCTTGTAGAAACTATTCCGAAAGGGACGACATTGATGCCGTTAATTAAACCCTTTGTTAACTATAAACTGAATTAATAAACGAATAGAATAGATTCCAGTTAACGCCCCTTTCTATAGCATGTGCCAATATTTGAGAATAGCCCTTTGATTTACTTGTTCGAAATGATATTTAAACATGCTGAGACAACTGTTAGGGATTTATGAGTAATTTAAATTCATTTGAACGTTGAATTGGATAGAATTGCCATTTGGTTAAACTCAATTTATGGCTTTTCTGATCAATATGATGGGACGATATTTGATGAAGTGTGTAAGACTACACGATTTTGTTGTAAAATAATGTCCCTACTACAAATATACTATTAGGATCATCATCATCATCATCATTTCAGCCATAGGACGTCCACTGTTGAACATAGGCCTCCCCCAATGCTTTCCACGTTGATCGATTGGTAGCGGTACTATTAGGATGCCACAGAGTAAAGCTTGACGTGTCGTCTGTAAGTACCTACCTGTAATGGAAGTATTCCCATTTCAATGAAAGCTCTTGTTTGCCCCTTGTTGAATACACGTATTGTATTTACCTACATGTTACCAGATTGAAAAACAAGTTCCTAGCCACCAGGAAAATTGTGAGTCAAATCTTTTCAAGGTAGAAATACATATCTTACAACCCACATAACCAGGAAAATCTTAAGTAGAATCTTTTCATACTTTTCAAGGTAAAAATAAATACCTAAGTTTAAATAGCTACCAGGGATGTGGGAATTACAACCCACATAATAGAATGAGAAGTAAAACTATCAATAACAATTAAAAAAAAAACATCCTACAAAAAATCCCGCCACAAGAACTAGTCACAAACAGTTTTCCGGCGATTATTTATTTTTATTCTCCATAGAAAATAAGCTGTTCCAGCAAGAATTTATTATGCTATGCCAACTCGAAGCAGACGCACAACTTACAGTTAGCGAACTTTGCAGTCATAATAGCCGGGGAAGGTACTAATTTTTAAGGTTCCGTGGAAACTTTATAAAAACTTCGTTGGTTTATTTAGTCTAAGGCTACTAGGGTTTGATCGGGTATCGTTAAAAAGAAATGTGACCATATTTTGTTAATTAAGTAAAAGGGTAATTGTGTATGTTGTGCTGGGTCACACCTAGGTAGGGTTACCAGTTAACCAGTGTGCTTACCATGAGTTTACGTTAGGTGTGCTCGCTAGCGACTGCGTAAAAAAATGACATTTAATTGTATGACATATTGTGCAGCGCCCCTAGCGGCTACTTTCAAGAAACAAAATCTTTATAGAGATTTTTGACGTACTCGCTAGCGAGCACACGTAACGTATACTCATGGTAGGTACACAGGACAAGACGCGTGATAACCCCGTTTTTTCAATATCTTAGTCGCATCACCCGGCATCTGTCTAGGAATTAAATTTTTATGCCCGGACTACAAATGAAACCCCGCCAGTACGCATCCCGGACACCACCTAAGCTAGGGCAAATACGGGGAAACCCGGACAGATGGTAACCCTAACGTAAGTGGCCCAAAGCATTCCAATCCCGCTAAAATTTCCGATTTGTGCGATTTCGCAAGCGAGTCGAATTTACGATTTTGGTACCTACTTTTGATAATACGTCCCGAACCTTCAATAGGTACTTCACTGTATGAAAACTTCTCTGTTATCAAAAGTTATTTATATGTTTGACTTACGCCCATATTCACAAACGTATAACAGCAATATTGCTCAGGTGAACCAGAAAATCGAACGCACAGCGTTGAATAGAGCTCTGTGATTGGTTCGTATGTGACCCTGTGCGTCCACGAGCACTGTGAGACCTCATAATAATGTTTGTGAATACGGGCGTTAATTGAACAAGTAGGTGTCTTAAATTATGTGCCCCGCGAAATGGTATCGAAAAGCTAACTCGATTGTGTTCGTTACTCCAGCGAGTTCACAGCGCCGCCTAATTTCAGTCAATGCGCATTAAGTATGCCGCAGTGATTATGCAGATGTATTGAAAACACGCGGATTTGCCCGCGATCGGGACGGGATTAGTCTGTACAGTTTAATTGGAAATTAATGCGGTTCCAACTTTTTTGGGAAATTCTAACCCAATAACAAAGATAAAGCTACAAACAAAGGAATGCTGCTCGAAAAAAAAACTACATTCAGTTTAATTCTTTTCAAGTTTATTTGAGACTAGTTTTTGCCCACGGCTTCGTCCGCCAGAATTTGTAATATCGTTTTAGCTTTTGTGTTATTTTTGAGGTATAGATTAATAAAGCTTAGATAGATAGTAAGCGCACGAAAAGTATAACAAATAATAAATGCGATAAATGTGGATAAAAATCTCTCAATTTCTAAAAAACCGCCTTAATTTAAACATTTTCAACAAAGTTTTGACATAAGATTTTTGCTTCACTTTTGACGAAGCGTTTGTATGAAGACTATCCATATAGGCTTTATAAGTTTTGAGGTATACTTAAACAATAACACTGTAAAGTTTAATGCAAAACCTTTTGGTAATTTTTGTGTGAAAGAGTAACAAACTTTCATCCATCCATACTCACAGACTTTCACAATTATAATAGACTTATTAGTAGATTGCCTCCAGCCAATAGGGTGTAATTTACCAATAATACTAGAAGCATGGCAAAATAACAACTCTGTTAGAGGTAATGTACTTATAATAAAATTTAATCGCAAAACTTATATTAATATTCTAGACATGTGTAAAAAATGGAATGGTTGTAATTTTCTATATTAATAATTTCGTCAAGGGGTACGGTAGACTGGATCGAAACCTTATATGAATAACAAAGCATAAAAAAATATCGATTTTGAGTCGACAACATATATCCGCAAAATTCGGATAATGGAGAATTTCGTTAAATTCCGATGGCACTGACAAACAAACCGCTGTCGCCATCTTTAGTATTTCACCATCCACTCACTATGCGATCAGCGCCAAAACCCTATATTAAACTATTTGCTGGGTTGTCATCGATCCATAAATAAATGGAGATCAGTGCGTTTCGCGATTTTTATGACAATACTCTTTGTTATGTGTTTTTTCTTTAATTGGCCGATTCAACCACAGAAAAAGAATATTAGCCATAACCATAAAAGTTGAAGTTCAATGTCAATGTCATTTAGTTTCGCACAGTGATAAATTCCAGTGACATGCAATTTTTGTAATAGCAAAATATTTGTAAGAAACTGCAAACAAATGCAAATGTGCAGTCGATGTGTGGAATGCGACAACATTATACTCGGTTAGCGGCTTAATATTTTTTTTATTTAACCCGACAATAATAAATGACCACATGCATAGCCTGTGTTGAGTTCATGGACCTATAAAAAAAGTCGGACGGATTCTCATCAACAAAATACTGTGACATTAGGATATACCAGCTCGCCTGTACGTACAGGCCGGCACGCACACATTCATACCCTGATACACCACTTCGAGTGCAAACTTCACACAGTTGACACATTTACGCGGCGAAAAAAAAAACACAAATACGACATGTCTTGCGTGGTGAAATTGTGTAAAAACCGTTCTGATCGAACGAACAAAAATCAATGAATCACATTTCACATGTAAACTAATAATCTAATCACTTATTTCCCCGATTTTATAAACATTAAAATATTAAAATCAAACGTCAATCACCCGACAAAATAATACGTCAAAGGCCAGTGTTCTCAGTTATTTACGTGGGAAAATTACCCGAAAAGTGGGAAATCTATAATTTTAAGACTTTTTAGGTGTTTATTACGCATACTATTGAAATAAAATAATTTATCATAATAACTGTGTTTTAATGGGATATATTTTCGTAGGCAGATTTGATCCTTCCCTAGGGCGTGGAACTGCGAAATTCAAATTTTCTTATATTTTTGCAAGTCAGTGTCAGGTTGTATGTTAAAATCTATCAGAGATAATAATATTGATGATACATAAGATTATGATTACGTAGGTACACAAGATTGATCATTTGTAACTGCGTGAATCGTACCTGACACTGACTTGCAAACAAAGTAAGAAAATTTGAAAATTTCGAGTCTACCTCAACGTATTCATCTTTCATCCTTTTCAAATGGCACGATATAATTTCGTCTACATTTCCAAGTAACATATCTGCCCATCTATGTTTTTCTTAAGATAAATGGGTAAAATGTTTTGGCTAACATGGCATCCCTGAATTCACTCACACAATAGACAAACGCCAAAATTTTGCGTCACAGTTTTGTTGTAGCGCGAGTTCCGTCCGCCTTTTTTTATAGGTCCATGGTTGAGTTGTTATCAACATACACGACAGAAACAGATACGATTTTTGCACCGTTTTTTCTGATAACGGAATAGACTCCTTCATGCGCAAGTTCCACTTGAGCTCGGCTGGCAGCTTATTATTACAAATAATTGTGTAATATATTTTTGCAGATAATTTCAATTATTGCGAGTGTTGTGGCTTAGAAACAATTAGGCAGTTAAGAATAAACAAGGCTCGGGCACTATCAAACCTTTTTCCTAAAAAGCAAAAAGCTGCTTCTGCTGCATCACAAGATTTATTTGATGACTTTCAGGTAAGTTAATAGTGTAGGTCACTGAGTAAAGTAAAATAAATATAGAGGTGGGAGGATATACCTACACCTACATACATTCACAATACTTATTATTACTTGAATATTTGTCTAAAAATAAAATATATTTCTCTTATTAAACTCAGTTAGCTCAGATGGTAAGAGCGCGACAACGGAGAAGTCGAGGATGTAGGTTCAATTCCTGCATGTGGTGTATTTTTTCATCACATCTTATTAAATTTGTTTAATAAGAGTAACACAATATATCATTAAAAATTTAAATTAAATCTTTAAATTAAATTAAATTAAATTAGCTATTCATAAATATATTTCTCTTTTAAGGTTGATAACGAAGAGTTGACGCTAATCGAGGATTCATTGATGATTGATGATGCTTCTTCGGACAACAAGAAAAAACAGCTACTGTCAGTCAGCAGTGATGATGCTTCTTCGGACAATAAGGAAAAACAGCTGCTGTCAGTCGGCAGTGATTTTATTTCTTTAGAAGAAGAAGAGAAAGAAAACATATCAAATAAATGGCGGGCAGACCCCCGAAAAAGCGTAAATATTGAAGCAGGTTTAGTACAGAATATCAGCACCCCAGGACTAACTATTTATATTTAGCACTTTCAAATAACACCATTCAAGTATCAGTACATTCAGTTGGTTCTATGATTTATGAATGTGTTCAATGTCAAGCACTTCATTTTTTAGGTGAAAAAATTAAAAATCATTTTAAAAATTGTTGTCATAATGGGAAGGTATACATAGACCCAGACAGAGTCTTAAAGCCAATTCCAGAAATATTATTAGCATTTTTTTAAATTAAACAGAACAGATGAAAGTGCTCGACAATATCTTTACACTGAAATTCCGACACATTTAAGATTTATCCATGGACAGTGGCAACCACGAATATCTCAGTCAGCGGCTGATAAAGTAATTGCAAGAATGTATAATTATTCCTTTTCTGATCGGGAACGATATTATCTCCGGCTATTACTTCTTCACGTCAAAGGGCCGACTTGCTTCAGAGATGTTAGAACTTATTAATATGAAAATATTATTTACACATCATTTCGAGAAGCTGCTCAAGCAAGGGGACTGCTTTTTGACGATCAAGAATGGGAAAGATGTTTGGATGAAGCAATTGGTTTCAAACTTCCTCGGCAATTACGACAGCTGTTTGCGTTAATTTGCGTGTTTTGTGAAGTAACTGATCCTAATGCTCTTTGGGAAAAATTTGCATCACATTTTATCGAAGACTTTAAGAAAGAAAGAAAGAAAGAAAGATACATTTATTACAGTGGACATCACACAAATACAGGCAATTACATAGACATGACAGTGGCACATAATAATAAAAGAAGAAAAAATAAAAACAAGAGTAAACTGAGCAGTGCCACCCATTCACCAACCAGATGCCCACTGCAACGGGACCCCACTCAGCATATGCCGTGGCCCACGGTGACGAAGGCCACGGCGCTGGTTTTCAGTGTGCCCCATGCCGAGTGAGGGTCACGGACCATTGGTAAAATAAAATAAAAAATAAAAAAGCTGCACAAAATTGTCTAGATAAACATACATAAATAGTAATATTAGTGCACAGATAAATACAAAAGGCGGGAAATCGGTAAGGATGATATGACTACGTTTATTAAGAATACTAATGAAAAGAATACTAATAAAAAGATAAAACTGTTTGTATAGGTGTGTGTGTAGTAATTGTGTTAATGTGTAATATTCGTAAAGAGTGACATTGTTACGCGTTGTTGAGTGTCTCGACGCCCGCAAAACCGGTTTGTGCAATCGAATGATTGATTGCGCGCGATTCGACAAATTAGTTCATCCCATATTGTTCCGAGCGTTACACGCGCACCTACAAACAAAAAATAAATAAAAAAATAAAAAGTAAATAAATTCCAGCAGTATTGGTCGTCCAAACATATAATTCAATTTCAATTAGTGTCAAATATATAGTTATGATGTCATTAGAAATAAAATAATAATCATGAAACAAGATCCTTTACAAGATCCCGCTCTGAAATATTATCCAAACAGTTGGCTTTACAAGAAATTGATGAAACATTAAAACTCCACGGAAAGAGACTAACAGATTTCGGACTTCCGGAGCCAGGTATTGATGAAAATAGTATTTTCTTATCTGATCCCGTTTCTGACTATTAATAAGAGTTATTTACATAACCTATATTAACGATTGAATTTGATTGTTTTGTTAATTTGTCTTAGTTTATTTTGAATGTTGATTTAAAATAAAAATAATTTGTGTAAAAACATTTGCAGTTTTTATTTACCATATTTATTAAACACAACTGTGACACAACTAACGAAGCTATAATTATGTGTCTATATATTTAATATTCTTTGAGAACCGATGACTACAGAAACATCTATCTACATTTTGCACCTAGAATTGTGTATTATGAGTCAAATTTCACCCGAGCGAAGCCGGGTTTTCGTCTAGTATGTTAATAAATCCAATCAAAAGTCAATTCGAAGTCAGTACAAAGGCGATAATAGCATTGGAAGTTAAGACCAACCTATTATAATTTGTAATATGCTATGAATATGTGAGTAACTACCTAGTGGTTCAAAATAACATTTGTAATATCACCTTGTCTATCTTTAGTTAACAATAAATAAATTGGCCATTTGCTAGACTAGAGTACTTACGGGCTATGTCAGCGACTTTAATTCGTTTACGGATCTCCTCATTTCTGATTCGATCTCGTAAAGAAATACCGAGCATAGCCCTCTCCACAGCACACTGTGCAACTTTGAGCTACTGTATAAGGCCTATAGTGAGAGGCCACGTTTCCGAACATATGTCATCACTGGTAACACACATTGGTCGACGACATCATAAAGGTAGCAGGAAGGCGCTGGACGCAGGCCGCTACCAACCAGGTAACATGGAAATCATTGGGGGAGGCCTATGTTCAGCAGTGGACGTCCTATGGCTGAGATGATGATGATGAGTACTTACGACTAGTATTTTTACTATAGGCCTAGCGCTTAAGTCTATCAGTACTGAGGTATGGGAGCACACGGGCGGGAGGGTGTTTTAGTAGCGTCAAACGTAGGCGAGATTTCAGACCTTTAATTTCACAGATCACAGAAATACAAGTAAAAACTGCAAGGATTCTGAGGGTTTTAAGAATTGGGGTGGACAGCAGCACTACTTAAGTTGCCGATACAAACAAAAAAACAGAAGTATTTGAAAAATTGTGGTCGTGGTAATGTAAAATATCATAAGGGGTGTCAATTTTTGACGAATTTCATAATTTATTGTGTAACTTAAAAAATAATTGAGATAGATTTTTTTTCTTATTTTTCCTAAAGTAGTCATGACTATGCCCACCCTGCGGCGCCGGCTTATCCTTGAATTTTGGGAAACGTTGTATATTTGACTAGCTTTCCGCCCGCGGCTTCGCCCGCGTGGAATTTTGTCTGTTACAGAACATTTTATCGCGCTCGTCCTTGTTTCAAAAACTGGGATAAAAACTATCCTATGTCCTTTCCCGGGACTCAAACTATCTCTATTCCAAATTTCATCAAAATCGGTTCAGTGGTTAAGGCGTGAAAGCGAAACAGACAGACAGAGTTACTTTCTCATTTATAATATTAGTATAGACTAGTATAGATAGTATAGATTATATGCTCTGTCACGTCATAATATGTCCAATTGTCCATGTCACACCTCCCGTGCCGCTCCCATAGGCACTGACTGAGTAAGATTTTTCCCAACTAACAGTAATTAATTAGTATTAAGAATGTCTAAATGTGGTGACGTGGGGGCTTTATCCATTTATAACAAGACCTTAAACATAAAAGGTCAGTCATAAATGTATCAAAATACATTTAATTATGACTCTTTGACAAACTCAACAACTTTCAAGTCCAATATTCAAATGGCCCTTATTTCAAGTTAAACTAAACTAACCAATCAACAAGTTTGGACCGACTTATAAACAATGGAAGCCACATTATTAGCAACTTTACAGACTATGTGAAGTATACTGTGAGTCGTACGTGACTAGTTTCTGTCCATGGCTTTGCTTGTGTGGAATTTGGATTATCACATAAAGTGTGGGTATCGATTCATAATTATACAGGGTGTTAGGTAAATGGGTATATGAGCCGACACTAGCCCATGTTAACATGGTCATATAAATGGTATGGTGCAGGTGAAGTCAGAAAATTGATATATTCATTTTAATTATTTAAATTTTCATACAAATCGGAATTTATAAAATTTATTTTGAATGAAAATTAAAAAAATTAAAATGATGATATCAAATTTCTGACTTCACCATACCATTTATATGACCATGTTAACATGGGCTAGTGTCGGCTCATATACCCATTTACCTAACACCCTGTAGAGATCATGAGGTGCCCTATCGTTAGTATGTTTTTGGGACCCTCTATATTTATACTATTGCATAGAAATCGAAGTCTTCTTTTCATTTTCCTAAACTGAGAAATAAAGAGCTTTCTTTTTCTCAGGTGTTTTCTTTTTTATTTTATTTTTTTTTATTCAGCAAAATTCATCAACATTTCTTTAGTTATTTAGGCATGAGAACGTAGCGAACCGACAAGGTCGCCTTTTGCCTTTTCATATCATTTCAGCTACGAGCCTTCCTATCTAAAGTTGTGAAACTTTAATTTTAATGTTTTGTTAATTTCACTCTAGAAAATAAAGGGTACCTACTTATTTAAAATCTATCCTGTCTCCATAATACTGAAATACTTAGGCCTATACATAACCCAAAGAATTAGAATCAACAGGATTCTATACTTAGCCTACTTCGTTCACAAACACACAAACATATTCAGCCTCTTCTATTATCTTCTATTACAATAAATTCGTTACCACCGTCTGCGGTAAGCCTTTCGGAGTGTTTCGAAGACGCACCGAAATAATTGGTGGTTGAAAAGTTTCGGTCAAACGAGGGCTGTGAGAGGATTGAGGGTCTGTCACTTGGCAACGCCATGCTTTGTAGTAAGTAGGTATACGTAAAATTCCATCAAGCGAGGCATTTTTATTTATTGGATGGCATATCGGTCTTCTGTGATAGCTTATGAAAGCAGTCTTTTGAATAAGCCTACAGTTTAGCTGCATAATATAGCACTGAGGATGAATTAATAAGTTAAAAACGTAATTAAATTAGATTTGAAAACAATAAGTCGGTTGTTGAAATTATTTTAGGATAGCTATTTCTAACACGTGTTCTTGATCTTACATAGTTTACTTACATTTATTTTGTCTCCATCTGTTTTAAATACGTAACTAGAATATAAATTCTTATGCGAGTTTTCACTTGAAAATCAAAAATGAATCAGAAATGAGGAGATCATCAGACATATTATAGCCCGACGGATTAGCAAGCTGAAGTGGCAATGGGCAGGGCACATAGTACACAGAACTGACGGCCGATGGGGCAGCAAGGTTCTGGAATGGAGGCCGCGTACCGGAAGGCGCAGCGTGAGACATCCACCTACAAGGTGGACCGACGACATCGTAATGGTAGCAGGCCGCTACCAATCGATCAACGTGGAAAGCATTGGGGGAGGCCTATGTTCAGCAGTGGACGTCCTGTGGCTGAAATGATGAAGTCGGTTGTTGAAATTATTTAATCATACAGAGTTACTCGTAGTTTACTTACATTTATTTTGTCTCCATCTGT